TCTGTTGCTTTAAAGTGTCTGCTTTATTTTCTCTGCATTGAGGGCAACAAACGCTATCTAGTTTTTTGGGTGTCTTACCTATCCTTATACCTTCCTTGTGTGTTCTCACTTTATCATGTGATCAAAGTCCAATCCCCTTGTTGTGTTTGCCCTTGATCTAATGTCCGCATATGAGAGAGAACATACGATTTTTGGTCTTTTGGACCAGGCTAACTTCACTCAGAATGATGTTCTCTAATTCCATCTATCTACCAGCAAATGATAACATTTCATTTTTCTTCATGGCTGCATAAAATTCCATTGTGTATAGATACCAAATTTTCTTGATCCATTCATCAGTAGGGGGGCATCTTGGCTGTTTCCATAACTTGGCTATTGTGAATATCCCCAAGAGTTGTATTGCTGGATCAAATGGTAGATCAATGTTTAGCTTTTTAAGTAGCCTCCAAATTTTTTTCCAGAGTGGTTGTACTAGTTTACATTCCCACCAGCAGTGTAAGAGGGTTCCTTTTTCCCTGCATCCTTGCCAACACCTGTTGTTGGTGTTGCTAATGATGGCTATTCTAACAGGGGTGAGGTGGAATCTTAGTGTGGTTTTAATTTGCATTTCCTTTATTGCTAGAGATGGTGAGCATTTTTTCATGTGTTTTTTGGGCATTTTAATTTCTTCTTTTGAGAAAGTTCTGTTTAGTTCACTTGCCCATTTCTTTATTGGTTCATTAGTTTTGGGAGAATTTAGTTTTTTAAGTTCCTATTTATTATCCTTTATTTTTTCAGTCCCAGTGTTAGAATTAAGATCCTTGAATTCTAATCCCACTTGACCACTTGAGTGTGTTCCCATACCTTTTTACTTTATTTTTTAAGTAGGGTCTCACATGCTTGATTGGGGCCAGTCTACGACCCAAACATTCCTACCTACCGCCTCCTACATAGCTGGGATCACAGGCAGGTGCCACCATCCCCATGGATAATCAATGTATAGTGGGGTCTTGATAACTTTTTATGGAGATTGTCCTTGAACCTCAATCCTCCCCATTTCTGCCTTCTGACTACCTCAAATTAAAGCTTGAACTACCACACCTGGATAAAATCTTGCTTTTAAAGTCTTCAAAGAGGTATCAATATAAAGAAGACCTCACATTCCAAAAATAGACAAGTTCTGCTTAAGTGAGTAAGGGCAAGTGTCCACTCTCATTCCCTGGGTCAGCTGCTGAGGATTAACACTGGCAGAACATGGGGCCTGGCACTGAGAGGGAGATTGTGATGGGCAAAGACCAACCAGCAAAGGTTAAATAGCTCTGTGGGATTATGGGATGGACTGAAGTCTGTAGAGGTCCTAATAGAACACATGTCTATAGCAACTAATGACACAAGATAGCAAATTGCTCTAGGTCTGGCAGACATTTTTTGAAGAGCTAAGTAGGTGGCCAAGTTTGTGGAAACTTGTTCCAGGACCAGGTGTTATTTTCTAGCTAGCAGTCACATTGGCAAAAATGAACTCCCTTTTTCTCCAGGGAGCTCTTAATCTCAAAAGTTTCTGAATTAGCAAGAGCAGACTAGATTCTGCAATGTTCTCTGACTTCCTTTTTGGGAAAATTTGCACAGTAGCAATTTCCAACACTTTTTGGTTAGAAACTTTATGGAGAACTCAGGCATTTTTCATTCCAACTTCATTGATGTTATAACAGTAACATCTGCCAGAAGTGTGCCAAATATTCCTGCATGCCACAAACTTCTGCCAGCATATGGCCTGTGTGAACATTCTAGAACCCATCTAGAATTTTACAACTTGTTGCAGAGTTTAAATACTTAACAAAGATAGCTATGCTGTATTTCACAGAAAGGACAACTCCAGGTTCCCTTAGTCCACCCTCCAGTGTTTGCCAAGACGGTAGCTCAGAAAGTTTGTTTCTAAGAGTCTCAAGTCACGTGGCTTGTGAAATGTAAGTGCAAACACCATGGTCAAGGTGAATGATCCCACAATTAATATCTGTAAGAACATTGAAGAAAATGCTGATAAGGCAAAAAATTTAGTATTTGACTTGGTTCATAGAAGGAAAATGAACCAATTGACTGCTATGTGTCTGGCTGAGATGCAGAAACCATTTTTAGTATGGAGTCTTGTCACACTTTTGTATTTTTCATATAGTTAGGACTAGAAGACTTCACATTTCTAATGGTTCTCATTGTTAGAAAGTACTTCTCATTATTAGTACTACTTCACTGGTTAATAATGGGATGATTTTTTAATTAACTTGAGCCTCATTGTAATTTTAAAATATGGGTAGACTTCTCTAAATTCCTCCTGTTTAAGTTCAGTTCCCAAATTTTGAGCTACATGTACTGATGGGTGTCTTCTTCAGCCAGATCACCTTTAGAATGTCTAGACTCCTGTATCGTGCCATGGGTATTCCAAAGGTTTCTATGGTTAAGCCTATGAAAGATGGCTTAGAGAAAGAGCAAAGGGGGGAAAAGAGCAGTAAGGGTTTCTCTGATTGTTCAGCAGACATTTTTAACAACAAAACAGAAGTGTAATTTCTTCACATGCACATTAAGACTATTATGCTTTGAAAAGCTGACAGTGCTAATGTGCCTCCTCTTTATTCTTTCAGTCATTCAATAAAATGCTGCTTATTGGTACAACTTGAGTAAACTTTTTATGTTAATTTGAATTGCCCATGATTTTCTGGTTTAAAAATCCCAATTATAAATGAAATCTTACTGCACTGGGGGTGAGAGGTGTGGCACGGAGAAAAAGTGTCAGGGAGGTGAGTATCTTAAATCTTCTGGTGTGATTCAGGGCTACTATTGGGTCTACTCAATTCTCGCTCCAACTGCAACAGAACCTGTGGGAAATCATTATTCCTCTGTGTTGGATATGTTAAAAATGGAATTGGTGGAAACAGACTTTCTTAAATGCTGCTAATAAAATGAAGGCTTTGCTGCAAAGAGAAAACCAGGAATTTGGAAAGGGACTTAATATTACAACGAGTCTGCAAGTATAGGAAAGTGATGATACATTTCAATACATTTTGGTTTAAGCCTCTAGCTGCACTCAACCAACAAACCCAACCAAAAAGCAAAATAACACATAGGTATGTTTCATTCAAAATGTGAATATTAGATCTTTTTTTCACTAATGGTGTTTGAACTCAGGGTCTCATACTTGCTAGGCAGGTACACTTTAGCCACTCCTCCAGGCCATGAATATTAGATTTTTTTTGGCAGCACTGAAATTGGAATTCAGGATCTCATGCTTTCTAAGTAGTCGCTTTATTACTTGAGCCACACCTCCAGCTCTTTTAAAAGATTTTTAAAAGATTAAAATATTTCATATGCTAATAAATTAAAAAAATTAATTGTATTTCTAAATTACTATATATAAATAGTACAAGGGGGTGTCATTGTCATAATTCCATATGTGCATATGGTATACTTTGGACAAGCTTATACCCTCTGTTATATTTCCTTACCTAACACTTCTGTTTGGTTTCATTATGCTTTCTTCATATATATATGTATATATATATATATATATATATATATCTGCTCTTTACACCTCAGTGTCCTTCCCTTTCCTTCTTCCTTATCCCTCTGATTCCCCAGGACAATCCCACATATACATACATGTCCCATTATTATTATCATCAGCATTTTATGTCGTTTCCACAAATAAGATAAAAACGTCATATTTGGCTTATCTCACTCAACATGATGATCTTCCGTTCCATTCATTTTGCTGCAAATGACATATTTCATTTTCCTTTATGGCTGAATAATACTCCATGGTGTATATGTGTGTTTGAGTATATCTATATCTACATATGTATATCAATCTATACACATATAATGTAATTTTTACTGATTTGTAAGGGTTTGCTCTGCATTTTGGATCTCAGTTTTTCAAACATAACTTGTGTCTTTTTCTGATTTTATCATTTACCATTAAGATATATAGAAGTTTTAAAGTATGATTTACTGAAATTTGTCAAGCCTTATTTTTATATTTATATTTTATTATTCTTTTCTACCTCTGAAGTTAGTAGTTTGTCTAGAAGATCTATCTACTGATGAACTTGGGGTACTGAAATCTCCATTATGAGATGTGAACACTTATTACCCTTTATGTCCAACAGGTTATTTTTATTATCAGCATATAATACTTGTAGAGGGGGTACATTGTGATATTTGCACATGTGCCTACAATATATCTTAATTATATTCACCCCCTTCTCCACTTCTTTGTACAATTTCAACAGGTTTCATTATCCTATTTTAATACATGACTGCAAAAATACATCCACCTTTCCTAATGCCCTTTCCTCTCTCACTGGTATCCACCCCCAGAAAAGACCTGATTTTACACTCTTGGTCTTCATTTTTAAAAAGTATATAGTGACAGTCCAAAGGGGTTTGTCTTGGCATTTCAGACATGTATATATCCAGCTTTAATTAGATTAACCCTCCCCAGAATACTTACTCTTCCTCTTTTCACCTGCTTCCCTATTATTCAACAGCTTACAGAGCATTACTTTATATTTATATTCATATGTAGATGGGATGTTTCAATATTTTTTACTCTCTAACATTCTCTTTCAAAGGACATTTTTGTAACTGGTTCTAGAGATTGGTTATGTTCCTTAATATTTAGTAGGTAAAAGAATTTAAATGCAGCAATTTTGTGAATATTTTGAAATTTCATTTGAGTCTCCTCTCTCCACAAAGCAGATATTCAATAATATTTGTTGAGTAATGAAAGAGAAGTATTAGTTTATTTCAGAACTTTACTATTTGGTAATGGAGGATATTTCTCTTCTTTCTTATTCATTGCATTACTAAAATAAAAAGGAAGAAAGAACACTTACTCACAGTCCTATCACATCAATTAGTATTTTGTGCTCCTGTCCAGTGCTGGTCTTTGTAAACACATTTTGATACACTTGTAAGCAGTCACTCAAAGCAAAATGTAATTTTGTCTTTGGTATTTTTAAATTTTGCAGCCAAACAAGGAAGCTAGGAGCAAGTGATGATATGGTGTGTGGAAGAAAAGAAGACCAGCAATAACTAAGAGTGGTGGTTGAAGCCATTCTCATTGCACTGCCTTCCTGTCCTCAAGCCAGTCTCCTGCCACTAGGAGTATGGTGGTGAGTTGTGGAAGGCAGCAGGCCAGGTGTCAAAGTTTCAAAATGTATTGTTTTGCAGTTTGCCTTATCTCACAGTAGATGAAAGTCTGTGATCAGGGGAAGCCTTCAGACTGGTTATATTGCATCTTGCCATTTTGTTGTTCTCCAGTTATGCCCATCGAGCAGTTGTCTGAACTGGAGACTGTGGTACAGCAGCCAACATCAATCTTAGGTTGATCTGACAGGTAAACTTTAGCAACTTTCTAAATTCAGCTTTGTACTTGCAAGAATCAAAAGGAATGGATCTAGTGATGGGAAATTCTTTAAGAAAATAGAAAACAACTTAGTGATGACTGTAAAAATATGAAAGAAGTTGCAGTATAGAAAATAAATGCAAAAAAAGAACTGGATTGTGAACCATAGTTTTTTATTCAAAGTAATTTGTGATTTGAAGAAAAAATTTCCAGTAGTCATTCTGTCATCTTCCATGGAATTCAAAACATTTCCTTTTGTGATTACAAATTAACCATGGCTCAAACCATTTTTTATTAACTGGTTCCTTTTTTCTAATTTGGAAATCTTACTAGACTCCTGAAAGACTGCACATATGTCAACATATTGTGTGATAATTGTCTCAGGCTGGTTCAAATTGTAAGAGCACCTGCTTAGCAAGTGTGAGGCCCCAAATTCAAATCCCAGTGCTGCCAAAAAACAAACAAACAAAATCAGGATAATTGTCTAAAAGTAGAATTATTTATTTGAAATTAAATTAAATAATTTAATTCATAGTTCTCTATGCTTTTCTATTTCCTGAACATTCTACACTGTTAACTGACTGCTGCTGGCAGAGTGGCTCAAGTGATAGAGTACCTGCCTAGCAAGCATGAGGCCCTGAGTTCAAACCCTAGTGCCACATGCACACACAAAAAAAATACCCTCAAAAAACCAAGAAAATCTCCTACTGGTACATTGACAAACTGAGTTTCTTTTAGCTTATCAGAAGTGTCCCTAACAACAAAGAAGTACAGGTTCTACTCCCCGATCAACAGTTCTAATTCAGTCACATCATTGGTGGCTGGGAATTCTGGTCTTTGTGGTGTCCACAGAAGCTCACCGTTCTCCACAACAGAAATTCCTAAAGATTGCAGTACCTTCATTCAACTGTGAAAAGTAAAGTAATTTCCCCAATCTATACTACCAAGTAATGAATAGTGAGGACAAAACTAAAGTTATCCTAACTAGCATTTATCTTCTCTCCCCACTCTTTATTCCTAAACACCACACCATATGCAGCTGTTTAAAGAGCACTGTCTTCAAGGGACAGGCCAGTGCTCCTACAATCCTGGAACTTGTGAATGCATCACTGACCAGCACAGAGATGACTCACCATGGTAGACCAGTTAAAGTGTTTCAGAAACAAGTGAATCAAATTTTAAAATACTAAATTTGAGCAATGACTTAAAGAGGGTAATTCTAAGTTTCAGCAGATTACTTTCATACTGAAATTCTGACTGTCAACTGATGATGCTACTCACTGCTGATGCTGATTGGTTTCCCACACTGAGCTTACCCAATTCAGCACCAAAAAAATGAATACCTTGGTTCTCATTATTTTGGATGTGGGTAGAGAAGGGTCAGTGAGGCTTGTTTTCTTTTCTGGCTCCCATTCTTGCCTGTTCTCCAGCATTGTATGTCTGTGGCTTGCCAGAGGCCTCTGCATGGGGATCTGACAGAGATACTGATGGTCCTTTGCCCTCCATTGGCTTTGTCCAGGGACACTTCATGTAAGTCACAAGTAAGGTACTGAGCTACTGTGAGTGGAGGAATGAAGTGTGTTAATTTTGTCTTCATTCCTAGGCTGCATCCTTTCAACATTGTGGATACATACATTTATCCTTTGGATCTTAATGTCTTTCCACAAAATAAGAGATTATGAATGTGTATCCTCTCTATGAGAAGTGCACATTGGGACTGTATATAGGCCATTATTCTCAGTTCCCCTCCAATGAAACTGCTCCAATATTACAAGCATCCATGAGGTTTTTGAGAGGCCTTAGAAAAATGTTACAATAATTCCCCATGTATCCCTTCACTTTTTTGTGCAGTGTTACTCCAGAAAAACGATATGAGGAGTCAAAAGGAATTAGAAGGGTCTCGCCTACAATACCCCAAATCCTTTGATGCTGGTACTTCTGTAATGTGCTTAGAATACTTAGATGTGTCCTCTGTTGTCCTATCTCTTTTTTCCTCAGCCTTAATGTTTATGCAGCCCGTATTTGTGTGTTCATGTTCTAATGTAAGATAGGGTGAGTGCTCCAGTAGCCTCCTGTGGAAAGCATCCTGTGGCTGAAGTACAGACCCTTAATATTTAGATGATCTCATGCATAATGAGTATCTATGGGGTTATGCTTTGGTGCCTTAAAGTACTAAAGGCATATGATAAAAATTTTTGAAAGCATAATACTCTATGAATCTACTTGAATCTTTCTATACTATCACTTTTTTCTACATTGTCAGAGACTTCAAGAAGATAAGCAAGTTATAGAGGGTATATTATATAAAATTCCACTTTATAAGTCCAAAAGAGTTTAATATTTGGAATTTCTTGTGTGTCAAATTATACACGAGTAGAGATACAAAGAGGATGTGCATGTTGATAACATGTCATAGTGCTGAAATCCAAGTGTACTCATTGTCCTACAGATTTATGTCAGATTTTATCAGCCTTCATCATGCCCTCTCTTTTCTTCAATTAGCCATATCTGGCTTCCTTTACCTTCACCTGCTCCTTATTCTTTCCTTATGCATGTATTACCATGATTGAAAATACCTGGACTCTGCTCAGGTACTCAGCAATGGAAGAGCTCCATGAAACAACAAAAATTCCCCGCTTCCTGGGACACACAGCCCTCTTGCCTCAGCCTCCCAATTGCAGGGATTGTAGGCATGGGCCACCAAACCTATTATTCCTGTTCCTTACAATCACAGTTTCCTTTTCTGTGAATACTTATAATTAGAAGAAAGATTAAAAGTAAGTTTGTCTAAATTTCTCACAGCAAAAGGGAGACATGCTATATGCCATTCAAACAAAAATGTGTGGAACTAGAACCCCACTTCCTTTCAAAGATCTCCGCAATGATCCCTAGTTGTTTCCTTTAGGTCATAGATATTTTCTGAGCAAGTGTTGTTCTCTGGGATCTGTCCTACACTCTGATGATTTTAGTGCATAAGATAAAATTGGCCTCTATTCCCATGGAACTCACCTAACAATGAGGAAGAAAGACAAAAACCAAATAAAAAGAAAACAAAGAGAGAGCAGTCAGTTCTCTGAAGCAAGGACATCAGAGTGGTGGAACACAGGGAAGTAGATGCCACTGTTCAAGCACCAAGCTACTTTCTCTGAACAGGTGAGTTTACATGAGAGCTGAATATTGAGAAGACAGCCTGGTGAGAACCCAAGGGAAAAGTATCAATTGAGAGAGAATAGGGATAGGCTGGTGTGTAGCAAGATGTGTACTGCTTTAGGGACATGAAGAAGACTAAAATGGCTGAATTATAATGAGGCAGGTGTGGGTGGGGTGGCATAAGATAAGGTAGGGTTAAAGAAATTCAGTACCCCTATCCTTGTAGGCCCTGAGAACCAAGGTAAGGAATAGCTGATTTAAACAGATATGTGATGTTGTGAAGAATTATAAGAACTGACAATTTATATTCAATTGCAAACAGAATTACAGGTGCTATGTGGAAGCAGGCAGACCATGCAGGAACACAGATCTGTAAGGAAGACGAGCTGTTGCTTCAAGTAGTGCAGTTATGGTAGAGTCAGTGATAAAGCTAGAGAGTTTGGGGCAGGTTTTTGTATAAGCTATTAATGGATTAAATGTATGTTGGGTCAGAATATCAAGCTTTACCCTAAGGATTATGTCTTAAGTCTATAGGTAAATGGTGTGGTATTTAGGGATACGGAGAAGACCAAGGGAGACATGAAAATCAGGTTTTGTTTAAGTCTAAGATGATTTTTGTACATTTATGTGGAACACTAAAGCAGTCACTTGAATATAAGAGAATAGAGGCTAGGGTTGTAAGGATATTTGTTGGCATCACTGGAAAAGTATTGTGCTAAATTTTACAGAAACACCAAAGAGGTTACTCAAGGATAAAGACTGTATGAAGAGAACAAAAACAGGGACAAGGCCAGCAAAGGAGACTGTGAAGCATGACCGGTGATATTGGAGGAAAACCAAGGTTATGTGACTCATGGAAGTCAAGGAAATGACCTTTTCCCAAGGAGGAGGATATGGCTATTGGAAGTGAGATACCAGAGTTGAGGAAAGAAGACACGACAGAGAAGTGAGCACCAGGTTCTGAGGATTTGACCTTTGTAGTCAGTGGAATATCCAGGACTAAAACCGGGTTGGACTGTTTGAAGAGTGAAAGTGAGGAAGTGAAGGCTGGAGTAGAGATGACTAGAGTGATTCACCAAAGGGAAGGACTGTACTGTGGAACCATGAGGCCACTTAAACTAAAATAATACATTAGGGAGCCTGAAAACAAGTTAAAAATGTGAGAAGCAGACAGAGATGGTCAGAACTTCTGAAGGGAAGGCCCTGTACCCTAAGTCATGCAAAAATTTATTCTCCACACAGTCATTACAGCTCAGTAACTCAGAATACACCAGTTTTTACCCTACTGATGAGAATGCAGTGATGAGCAAAACAAACCAGCTTATCAGTGTGGAGCACTGTCACATTGCACAGGCCTGTGCATTTTGGCATGGCATTCCAATAACTGTGCTGTCACTTCTGAAGCATTCACAAGTATATACACCTATGGAATATAAAACTCAAAGCATTTATGTAACCACACAGCATCACATGTTAACATGCCTTTATAGTAACCATTCTATCATTTCTGAAGCATTCAAAAGCATCTATATTATGAAATCTAAAACTCGTATCATTTAAGCCACTTGCCTAGTGTCACACAGTGTCAGAACCAAGATTACACACAAATCAGAGTGGAACGCCTCTCCATTCTGTATCAGTATATCAGTTCCAGTATTATGTGTTTCAGAATTACGTGTTTTAGAATATCTGTATCTGTTTTTATAACGACATATTCAAGAGAAAGGAAAATGAAAGCTTGAAAATCAGGCATAAATATGTTGAATAAAATTGGTAGAGTTTCTACATAGAATTTATGTATTAACTAAATTATTGTGTGAAGGACACGAGATGACAAAGTGTGCTGA